ATCCTCTGGCCCCTCCTACAGCGTCTGATATACTGTTGGGCGCACAGTACATTTTGGCGGTTGCCTAATACATTTAGGACGTTACATTAGTACTGGTACATTAGTACATTTGGTGGTTGTCCTTGGGCCTTCGATCCAGTTCAGTTAACCAAATAAGTGGTATTTCTTGGTTTCTCTTCAAGAACTCTGGTTTCAACTGGCATCCAGGGAAAGGAGGCAAGATACTAATCGAACTGGAACAGTGATTCTAAATAAAACCTGCCACCCAGAATCATATGAGAGTGGGGCTTTTCTTTGACCCCTTTCATTTTCACTTCATCTGTAGCCTCTCTACAAGCCCTCCCCACTGAAGCCCATGAGGGGAGGGAATCAAGGGGTGAGGGTGGAGGGTTATTGGAGAAAAGATGGAGCCTATTTTTAGGCTTGTTTTTCAGTCATGAAGTGTCATGTTCTTCCTCACCACGGCTACTGGATTAATTAGGCTGTGCTGGCAGCTGCCAGTCAGGGAGGGTTGCCAGCTTCTAACGGTGATTCTGCCTAATGCCTAAGTCGATTTGCACGGAGAGAACAACATTTCTCCTGCTACGTGGCTCTTGCCTTCCAGGGCCACCTATCCTGGCCTCCGGTGGCTCTGGGTAGGAGAGGGTACAGCTTCCCTAAGCCATGAATCCTGTTTAACTGGACAAGAAAAGCCACCAGCTGGTCACTTTACCTGCCAGCTCATTGGTAGAGCCTTGTTGCCATGACTTGGGTCTCTCACATTTCCTCTTCTCCCAGCTCTCCCAGGTCTGCCGAGCAAATTAACCCCATTTCCCAAATCTTGCCCAAAGAGCTCGGTGCCCAGAGCTTGTGTGGCTTTGGGAGAGCCCACTGCCCAGGCAACAGGTCATAGAGAAAGTGTCAGAGTCAGAGATTCTGACCTAAGAGCTTATTTCCATGCTATTTTGAAAGAATCGTCAGGGTCATTTATTGACTTCCGAATATCCAGAGACAATCTTCATTCATTCAGGAAATATTTATTGAGCACCTGCTAAGTGCCAGGCACCATTCTAGGTGCTGGGCATGCAGCAGTGAGCAGAACAAAGATCCCTGTCCTGGTGGGACATGCATTCTAGTCAGGAGTGACAGATGATGCACAATAGCCATACTGTATAAGAACATTATATCGTTTAGAATATTTAGTCTTATATAGTCTATATAATTATATATTCAATATATAAATGTTTAATATAATATTAAATAAATTTAATTCATTAATAGTATTTTTCATATATACTGGAAAAAGTAGAGCATGTAAGGGACTCTTCCCAGTATACCTTTCAGTCCATGCTTTTCTATTCTGTCCCCATCTTAATCCTTAAAAACATGCCAGGGGTTCTCATGCTGCCAGGTCCCCCTCCCTTCTACCCTTATGGGCAATCTCAGGAACAGACCGTTTAGGCCTGGTTGGGATCTTAGAGATCATCCAGTCGAGCATTTGCCACCTTGGTTTTGCCGCACTTCTGACTGATGATGTTGACACGTGTGGCTGCCCCCTTGAGTGCCAGCCGTCTCACCCTAATGCTATCCAAGCAGAGCCTTCCAAGAACCTGGACAAGGCGGGCCTTTTTCCCAGAATCCCAGCACAAACTGTCCTGTTAAGTAGGGAGAGTGGTGGTGGTGTCCAAGTTCAAGGAACTCCCCGTGGGTGAAGCCCTGGCAGCCCTGCCTCTCATGGGTGATGGCTCTAGTTGGGAACTCTGCTCATTTCTTTGCTGTCATATAAAGAATTACATTAAGAGCAGAACTAAAAGAAGTTTCAGTTTAAAAGTAAGAAACCAAATGTTTTGAAAAGTATATCTTTGGGAGGCATTGATAAAGCCGTTTGGGGAACCGTATCATTGCACCTCAGCACGTTTCCCGATTCTGGAAAGGCTTTAGAGTTCTGTCCGTCTTTCTCCTCAGTGTTTCTAAAGATGGGCCATTGGGAGGTTTGGTCCTGGCTTGTGGATCAAGAGGACATGATGCAAACCGTGCCTTCTTTCTAGAAGAGAGGTTCTTACTTGACACCTGGTAGTGAGTTTGAGTGACAGACTTCTCCTTAGAATTGTAGGCTGTGTGACAGTATACATCATGAAAGTGACAGCAACAGTAGGGACTAATTTAATTCCATTTTCCTTGCAGCCCTGATAAATCATTGCTGCAGGGAAAAATGAATTTTACTTTCTCAGACAGAAACGATTTGAATAATGATGTGCTCTGAGGGAATCGGGGGCTGAGAGAAGGTCTGTTAGTGGGCTTAAAAATATTTAAATAGCATATCATGAAACTTGTTGCAAATGCCTCCTGCCCCTGGCCTGGTAAATGACTTATACTAGAAGGGCCTCCTTCCCAGACTAATTAGAAGAGTTGCATAAAATTGTATAGGCCAAATGACTGTGTTTTTTAGAGCATCTCATTGGAAAAGGTAATTGATTATAGTGCTGTGTTTCCTGCATGAGCTGGTGGATGAAACAGTTAAAATAAAGATTCTAGAATCTGGAGTCCTGACCATTTACAAATAGGAAAATTCTCAACATGAATGGAAAATTGCCAATGATTTTCATCTTCCTTCCAGAAAATGATTGTTGCTTAGGAATGTGGTTCTGCTGGGAGGCTTTTTTAATGATATAGGGAATGAATTATGGATGGAGGAGCACTTGGGCCCCAGAGTGTTGTGCATGAGGAGCCTAGTGAGGGGAAGTGTAGAGGGAACATCTCCCCCCAAGAGGACAGTGGAGAATGGGCCCTAATGCTTGCAGGGAGACGTAGGTACTTTGTCTAAGTAGAACAATGCCTACCTTACTTTGAGGAGAGTCTACAATCCCATTTTCAGTCCATCAAAAGCACAAGAAAACCACTTGCCTGTGAATAGAATCCACATCTTCCTACACTACCCGTGGGCATGTCACTCTGGGGTGTGGGGGCTGACAGGAGGGAACCCAGGGGAAGTTTTGCTTGTGACCATTTCCTACAGGCAAGCCCACTGTGATTTTCCCACTCTCGACGTCAAACCCAGTTGCACTCCAGCTTCAGTGACTGAAGGAATAAATCATAGGCAAAAGCTGTAAAAACCCCTGTCAGGAAGCAGCCCCTTCCTTTGGAGCGGTGTGAGCGTAAGGTAAATGAGCAGTTACTGCAGGCATGGTTTATAGGAGTGAGAGATTCTCACTAGAGCAGCAAGAAGAATGGTTACGTGAGTTAGAGAACTGCTCCGGCTCGCTCCCCACAGCCCACCTGAGAGCGGTGGCCTTCGTCTGACACTCAGCCAGCTTCGGGGGAGCTTTGATTTCCCATTTGTTTTAGGCCTGATAAACAGCCCAGAGCTTTGGGTAGGTCCGGCCAGCCATTGAAAATACTATTTGTCTTTTAAACAGCAGGGCCTGGATCCTGTCAGAAATAAGAGAAACAATTTGAGAAGACATATAAGATAACACAGTATTTTACTGGCTGTGGTTGTCATTTCAATTACACATCCAAGAGGGGTTGGGGATTTGGGGTTCTATTAGCTTGATGTCCCCCCTTTCCTAGTTTTCTCGGCTTGGAATTGAGAACTGCCTCTTGGTATTCTTTATGGCAACATGCAGCCCTCAGGAGCGCAGAGTCTGCGTCACCTCTCCAGGTCTGATGTACTGCTAGACATCCGCATCCCAGACACTGAGCTGGAGGCGCCAAAATAGGAAAGAACAAAATGGTAGTATCTGGAAAGACAGAAAACCCCAGGGTATAGTGCTGGGGGGAAATAAAATCATGCAGACGTGTTTAAGGAATATATAATACTATGTATTTAAATAATATTTAAGGAATTCTTTGTGCCTGCGCTATGCTCTCGAGTTTACTTCTGAAGGAAAACAAAACCAAACTTAATTAGTCCTTGGTTTACAAAGATCTTGGGACATCTGCCCTTGGGTTTTCCTTGTTTTGAGAATTTGTTTTCTGCAATTGCCTGCCTGGGTCCCTGCTTCAGAGGAATGGCTCGGTCACTGTGCTAGTTTCCTAGAGCTGCCAAAAACTGGGCAGCTTAAAACAACACAAATTTATCCTCTCACAGTTCTGGAGACCCTAAGCCTGAAATCAAGGTGCTGGCATTGTTGGTTCCTTCTGGGGGCTCTGAGGGGAACCTGTTCTGTGCCTCTCTCCTAGCTTCTGGTGATTGCGGCAATCCTTGGTGTTCCTTGGCTTGTAGCTGCATCACTGCAGTCTCTGCCTCCATCTTCACGTGGCCATCTCCCCTCTGTCTCTGTATCTCAAATCTCCCTCTCCTTCTCTTATAAGGATACCAGTCATTGGAGTTAGGGCCCACCCTAGGGTGATTTCATCTTGAGATCCTTAACTTAATTATATCTACGAAACCCCTACTTTCAAATAAGGTTACATTCAGAAGTATTGGGGGTTAGGACGTGAATATATCTTTAGGGGAGACATAAGTCAACCAACTACAGTCATCAGGGGGCTGTATTTTGTTCCTCTTCATGTATCTAAAGTTGCTACTCTCTGTTGCTGTAGTCCTTTTTCAAAACATCGCTCAGATGGACTGTTAAGCTGGCTCCTGGCTCTAACATTTACCTCTGTCCCCCCAATATTCGGGCTTAAACATCCCTTCATACCACTTCTGCCATGTCACTCCTAGGAGACCAAGGCCAGGCTGGCCAAACCCTCGAAACAAGACACTCCCAGGCACTGAATTTTCGTGTCCTTGCAAATTCAAATCAAAGAGGACAGGCTTACAATCTTATGAGGTTCCCTATACCAAGCTGTAACCTTCTACCTTCACACATTTTAAGACCACATCAATATGCACGGAAACAGTTAACTATGGTAAAGATCAGAGAGACGGGGAAGGGCTGGCTGTGGAGAGAAGAGACAGATGCCTCAGAACTGATTTCTCTAGCAGTCAGTTTATCCAGAAAGATATGGTAGCGCAACAAGGCTCTGGACAGACTCTAATTGTCTTTTTTTCTCCTTTCTTTCTTTTCTCTTAGCAAACTGCCTAGTTGGGCTAGAGCTGTCGTTCCCAAAATATTTTATGTTACAGAGAAGGCTTGGAACTATTATCCCTACACGATTACAGGTAAGTCTTTCGTACAACTGGTATGTCATATGTAGCAATGCAAGACATGGCAGTAATCAGATTTCACTGATTTAGGGTGAATTTTCCAAGCAGGGACTTATGTGAGCCCTGTAATATCTCCCAAAACCCTTTGCCTTCATACTTTTAGGTCAACGCTCTTCCTAGCAGGGGATGGTGGGAGTTAAGCTAAACCATTCCATTTTCCTTCCTAAAGCGATGGTAGTAAATAGCATGCAGAGGAGGAAAGTGAAGCTCTTTTTAGTGACATTTCTATGGGTTTCATTATCCTTATTTCTCCCTGTTTCTTCAATAATCCCCAAGTAATTTTGGGGTGTGGTTTGTTTATAAGCAAATTGTTTATTTTGACTTGTTTGTTTTACAGCACTACCCCGCACCCCCCCCCCCAAAAAAAAAACTTGATTGTAATTTATGTAAAAGGTTCTGTTGGGTCTCTCTGCCCCAAACTACTTCCTTTGCAATTGGACAGTATGAAAATCTTTAAGATCATTTTCCCTCTGGCTTATAATAGGGTGATAATAACCCCTGTGCTGATACTGAACTAGAAACTGTGGCCAAAAAATTTAGAAGGTTTGGTTCCTACCCCCGAACATACAAAAATTCAAGATCCCACTTGAATATCATCATAACAAGCTCTTCTTATTGGCTATAAAAGCAGCTTTTCAACTTAAAAGATTTCCTTTGTGGTCAATGAAATGCTCTACTGGAATTATTAGTCTTTAATTCTGCTTTTATAATGCCAACTCTTTGGTTTTTAATTAGCCACAAACCTATAGGCTAATTGAATCTTGTCTTACAGTCCTTATCTGCCCAACCACAGAAGTATCATATGAAAGAGTCTTAAGAGAAAACATGGAGACATTCAGTATTTATGAAAATTAAATTTTGGAAGGTTTCTTTACCACATTTTTAATAATTATAATTCATAAGTATTTGTTAGTTCTGTGGTTTTATATTGCATATAAGCGTGGTCTAAATTATCAATTTTGTCTCTCTTTTTTCTTTTCCCTCTTGTCCACATGAACATCTGGGACCAGAATACACAGTAAGTTTTATTTAATCATTTTAAAATATTCAGCCTAAGATCAATGGAGTAATTGGAACTTCCCTTGTACGTCTCATCTTATCAATGTAATCAAAAAAATAGAGGAATAATTCAGAATCAGAAATATTTAAATGTAGGCTATTACATAGTTATATATAATGCAATAACTTGAATGTTCTCATTTGTTCAAGAATATGAATGTTAATTTAAAATGCCTTGATAGTCACTTTACATAATTAACTTTTGCTTGTAATTTTAAATAGCCTGACTGCTCTACTTGTGATAGTTCACTGTAATAGAAGAACAGTTTCTAGAAACATGATATGAAAAAAATGATGGTAGTTATGGATGGAAGGTGGGGCTTATACTTACAGGTTGTGGCCTGATCTCTTATTGGAGAACCTTGAAACTGGAAAGACGTATACTCAGAGCTCTGGATTGGACAGTCTTGGTGTCTTGATAAAAACCCTTTAATTTCTTCCTATCCTCAGAGCCTCTAGAGTCATTACTTACACTAAAAAAAAAAGGGACCCTATAATATCATTGTGTTGTAGTATTTTCATTTGGATTGTTTTCCCCAACGGCCAATGAGTCAAGCTGTCATAACAAGAAAGTGGTTAACTGAGCTGTGATGGAGTTGAGTTTTTGGTCTTAATCAAGCAGTCAAAGGAAAGAGAGAGATGGTGAGAGATACGTGGAGGAAAATGATTCATCATGTCCTTGGCATGAGCATGGTACCTTGCACATAGTAGATGCACCATCAGTAGTTATTGAATGACAGAATGAATGCATGAATCACAGGTAGATACATCGTCCCAACAGATACAGTGGAAGTGTCATGGGCTTTGGAGTTGGATAGGCCTGGGTGTCCTCTGGCTCTGCCACTTACTGGCTGAAGTTCTTAAGTGAGTGACCCTCAATTGCCAGTTCTTGAATTCATGCTGGTCCTTGAGTACATTCACACCTGTCCTTTGCAAAATAAAAAAAAAATGGAATAATATTCAAAATTTTTCATAGAATTTAATTTATTCCACTTGAAGGACTATTGGGTAATTATATCCTTCATTCTTGGATATTAAAATGTCTTTTCTTGGGGCCAGCCTGGTGTGTAGTGGTTAAGTTTGGCACACTCCACATCAGCAGCCTGGGTTCAGGGGTTCGGATCCCGGGTACGGACCTACACCACTTGTCAAGCCATGCTGTGGCGGTGACCCACGTACAAAATAGAGGAAGATGGGCACAGATGTTAGCTCAGGACCACTCTTCCTCAAGCAAAAAGAGGAAGATTGGCAACAGGTGTTAGCCAAAAAAAAAGTCTTTTCTTTTATGAAATGATAGGAGCATACATAGCATTTTTCCCCAGGGTCTCTAACTTCAAAAAAAGGCAATTCTCTGCCAAAATACAAATTTTACATTTTAGAAGTTAGGGGAACACTGCTCTAGAACAAGCAGCTTAACGTCTCTGAACCTAAGTTTCTTGATCTCTAAAATTGAGATAATCCCTCTTTCATAGAGCTATTAGTAGAAGGATTCAATGATCTAATGCTGGGGTCTGAAGACTTTTTCTATAAAGGATCTTATAGTAAATATTTTCCTTATTGTGGTCCAAACAGTCTCTGTCACTGTGAAAGTAGCCTTGGAGACTATGTAAAGATATTGGCATGGTCATATTTGCCCAGACAGCAGGCCAAACTTGGCCCCCAGGCTATAGTTTGTCAACTCCTGATCTAATATATAGAAAGCTGTCAGTACTTTGCCTGTACATAGCGGGCAGTTAAATGGTTCCCCACCAACATTCCCTACCCTCCAGCCCCCCTGCCCAGTTCCATTGCTTCTAGCAATTGCACAGTCTTCGAGAGGAAGACTTTGGAATCTTCTGAATCCTGCCTCATTAACAGTTGTGCAAAGTACTTCCCTTTAAGCCTCCATTTCTCATCTGTAAGTGGGGAAAATGTAATAACTATCTCATAAGGGTGATGTGAAGATTATATTAAATAATCTACGTGAAATCTTAGCCTACTGCTTGGTGCATGGTAAATATTCGATAAATGTTCATTGTTATTATTTATTGTGCAATGCTGAACGCTGCTGTCATTAAAATGGAAGTTCTATGGGCAAATAAATGGGAATATATCTCAGTACCCTTCGAAGCAGACTGGGGTCCACTTATTAGACTGGAAGGTACTAATTGTCTAGGATATTATTTGATTTTATTGATATCTGATGCTATCCCACTTCCCGCTTCTCCAAAAGCTTGTGCATGGACTTTTCCTTTCAAATGTAATCAATAGTTACAGGGAGAAGAGAATTTTGTCCCCATAACTATGCAAAGGCAGTTATTTGCCTGGTGAGGCTTAGAATTAGGTCACCTTGAGTTGACCCAAAACTGATGGCCTTTATTCTCCATAACCTCATGACAGGACCATGAAATGTGAGGGTGATTAACAGAGAGATGAAGTCTGAAAGTGATAGTGATATTGTGTTCATTTTTTAAGAGTATGTATTAAAGTACTAAGGGTTTGAAAACAGAATGAAAACCAAGGTTCCTGACAAAGCCATCCCCATGGGGATGCACATCCTAAGGCAGTCCTCCCATGGAAGCCTTTCCCGCCAGCCTCCATTGCAATAGTCCGCTGTTATCCACGGGGGATACGTGGATATCCTCCTGTGGATACCTGAAACCATGGATAGTACCAAACCCTATATATCCTATGTTTTTTTCCATGCATACATACTTGAGGTGAAACAGTAAAACTAGCACGAATTTCTTTTTCCTTCTTCACAATTTCACAGATAGAAGATTTGTTCTTACCATAGATCTTAGCAACCTCAGCATACGATTTTTTTCCTTTCCTTATTAAGTTGAGAACTTTTACATTTTCACTTAAAGGAAGCACCTTACGGCTTCTCTTTGGCATATCTGAATTGCCAGCATCACTACTCTTGCACTTTGGGGCCATTATTAAGTAAAATAAGGGTTATTTGACACAAGCACTGCGATACTGACACAGTCAATCTGATAACCGATGGCTGCTAAGTGACTGATGGGCGGGTAGTGTATACAGCGTGGATCCACTGGACAAAGAGATGATTCACGTCCCGGGCGGGATGAAGTGGGATTTCATCATGCTACTCAGAATGGTGTGCAATTTAAAACTTATGAATTATTTCTGGAAATTTCCATACAATATTTTTGGACTTTGGTTGACTGTGGCTAACTGAAACCAAGGAAAGGGAAAACGCGGATAAGCGGGGGACTACTGTACCATGACCCTCCATCTCCTGTGCTGAGTCTGTGTACATGGAGGATTTCTGAGGGACTTGTGGCCTTTACTTCTGCCCAGCCTCTGCCCCCCAGTTCTCCTGAGGTTCTAATCACACAGTTCAGACTTTCAAAGGGACACAGATTATCTTACTTCTGTTTGAGAAAGTTTAAGGACAAAACATAAAGTTAGTTATGGTTGTATAGTCTCACACTCACTCCTTTCTGTTTGACTCTACATATTACTTGATATGTTCTAAGCCCTCATTTTTGGGGGTCAATACCTCCCTAATCCAATCCTTGGGATAGTTTCCTTGGGCTGCCATAACAAAATACCACAAATTGGGTGGCTTAAAACAGCATTAATTTCTTGTCTTATAGTTCCGGAGGCTGGAAGACTGAATCAAGTTCTCAGCAGGGTCATGCTCCCTCTGATACCTGTAGGGGAGGAATCCTTCTTTGCTTCTTTTTAGCTTCTGGTGGCCCAGGCGTTCCTTGGCTTGTGGCAGCATAACTGCAATCTCTGCCTCTGTTTTCACATAGCTGACTTCCCTCTGTGTGTCTCTATGTCTTCACATGGCATCCTCATCACTGTGTCTCTCTCCTCTTCTTGTAAGGACACGAGTCATTGGATTAAGGACCCACCCTACTCCAGTATGACCTCGTCTTAACTTAACTAATTACATCTGCAACAACCCTAATTCCAAATAAGACCAATTCTGAGGAACTGGGGTTAGGACATCAACATATATTTGTGGGGGGACACAATTCAACCCATAACACCATCTTTCAGTTTAGATTAACAGTCATTTATTAAGCACCAACAATGTGTAAAACATCATATATTGAAGGCATCACTGAGCAATAACCTCTGCCCTTTGGGGAGTCACAATCTGGTGGGAAATAGCTAAACATTCCAGTCAAAGCCTGGGAGTCATCAGCAAGTCATGGGATTTTCTGGAGGTAAGAAGAGACAAGCCATCACTCAGCCCAGGGTACAGGCTGGCACCAGACCTGCCCACTGAGCTAGATGACTTCTGAGCTGGGCTGACAGCAGACGTTCGGACCAGAGGGCATAATGAATGGCACTGGGGAATCCAGCCAGACAAGCAATTGCAATGTGAAAGGAAGGGCCCTGGCCTCTGGATTGGATCCTTGAGCTTCAGAGATAGGGCTATAGTCCTCCAGGAGGGGGACAGGCAAGAACAGGACACAGCCATCTTACATGGGTGACTTGATCATGAGATGCTGGGGTGATAAAGTTGCCAGCTTTAGCAAGTAAAAATACAGACTATCCTGTTAAGTTTGAATTTTCAGATTAATAGCGAATAGTTTTTAGTATAAGTATGTCCCAAATATTGCCTGGAATATACTTATACTAAAAGATTGTTATTCCTTTATTTTATCTCTATGGGGAGAGGGGTGGCAGTGGGGCATAACTGATCTCAGAGACTAAGGTACAAAAATCAGGTTATTAGAACAGGGCACATTGGTGGGCCAAGGGAAAGGGAGGACAGAGAACTGTATAACTCGGGAGTCTGTCCTGCAGTTGACATGCCACGTTAACACTAAGGCCAATCAAATGACCTGTCAGAGCAACTTAAGTGCTTCCTGCCTCAGGATTGGCTTAGGAAGTGAAACGGATTGAAGGGAGCAGAGTTGGGGAAAATTAAGTGAGAGCAGTTGAATACATAATTGTCAGTATTTCAAGGAAGACCTGTGCTAAGTGTTTTAGTTG